CTAGAACTCCCAGTCTCCTGGTGACTGGCCTACAGTTACCCAGCGGCTTTCATGTCTAACGCAGGACTAGAACTCCCAGTCTCCTGGTGACTGGCCTACAGTTACCCAGCTGGCTTTTGTGTCTAATGCAGGACTAGAACTCCCAGTCTCCTGGTGATTGGCCTACAGTTACCCAGCTGGCTTTTGTGTCTCCCAGTCTCCTGGTGACTGGTCTAAAGTCCCCCAAGCCAGTTTTCCTGCCAAAGGCAGAACTAGAACTCACCATCTACAGGTTTCCACACCAGGACCTTAACCACTAGACCAAGCTGTCTCCGTTCCTTAAACTGAACAGACGCACATTCCAATCGTTCTGTCATCTATCAGAACGTATGAAAAGTTCAAACAGATGTTGGGGAAAAAAAACCCTGTAAAAATAGCCTGTTCTGCTTTAAAAAAAAAAACAGTCTTTCACCTTAACCTAAAGCACATATCTAAGCTTAAATTCATACCCTGAACTCACATCCCTTCACATCTTCGCTTCTGGAATTCCAATTCCCAGGTAAGACAACCAAGACTTTAACCCTCAAGCTTGTGTCCTTTCAGACACAAAGGCTGGATTTAGACCCTGGAATAATAGAGTTGGAAGGGATCTCGGAGGTCTTCTAGCCCAACCCCTTGTTCGAACGAGAGACCATATGCCATTCCAGACAAACGGTTGCCCAGTCTCTTCTTAAAAACCTACAGTGCTGGAGTACCCACAACTTCTGGTGGCAAGTAGTTCCACTGGTTAATTGTCCTCGCTCTTAGGAAGTTTCTCCTTCATTCCAGGTTGCTTCTATCCTCCGTTAGTTTCCATCCGTTGCTTCTCGTCCTGCCTTCAGGGGCTTTGGAGAAGAGCTTGACCCGCTTCCTCTTCTTTGGGGCAGGCCCTCAACTACTGGAAGGCTGCTATCATGTCACCCCTGGTCCTTCCTTTCATTAAACTAGTCATTCCCAATTCCTGCAACCATTCTTCATATGTTTAATCCTCCAACCCTCTAACCATTTTTGCGGCTCTCTTTCTAGAGTCTCAACATCTTTTTTAACGCTGTGGTGACCAAAACTGGATGCGGTATTCCAAGATTGGTCTTACTAAGGCTTTGCCGAGCGGTACTAGAAAATGGATTTCTTCTATTGTATCTCTCTCTCTCTCTCTCTCTCTCAGGTGAGCAACTGGTCCTTCCACCCCAAATTATCCAAGATAAAACTTCTGGTACGTCGGATTTAAATTCCCGTTGAAACTCTGCTCTCAAAACCACGAAAGACACTGTTCTCTCTCTGTATTTACACCTATACGGCTGTTTCCACCGGATTGCCAAAGCTGGCTGGGAGCCATAAATCTAAAATAGGTGGCCTTGGCCAAGCCACACCCTGTGCAATCTTGGTCTCCGAGTATAAAATAGGAACAAAGAATCGCACTGTAGGGTGTAAAGAAAGTAGATAAAAGTCGACAAAAGCCAGCATTTTGGAATTCCGCAGAGGAGATGGCGTTTCACTGAAGTGTTGAAAGGTTCTGTGCTGAACACTGAGGAACATCTGTGGGCAGGTCGAAAGGTTGAATCGTGATTCCCACAAGGGATGAATGGTTGCAAAAGTCGAGTTAGCAGAGATGGTGGAAGGATTTGCTTTGATCACAAGGGAGGGGGGATTATTTTTTGTGTCTACTTGAAAACAGTTTCTGGATTTTGTGCTTGAGGTGAAAAAAGGAAAGAGGAATGCTGATTTTGGATTTTAGGTTTGTTTTTATAGAAATGCAAACCGTACTCAACGAGTAGTCCTTAATGGGTCTAAGTCTACATGGAGGGAAGTAAGCGGTGGGGTGCCACAAGGTTCCGTCTTAGACCCAGGACTCTTCAATATCTTCATTAATGACTTAGAGGAGGGAATAGAAGGGGAACTTGCCAAATTTACTAAGATGATACTAAGCTGGCAGGAATAGCCAACACCCAAGAAGATAGGCTCAAGATCCAGATGGATCTTGACAGACTTGAACCCTGGGCCCTATCTAACAAAATGAAATTCAACACAGGGAAAAGTAAAGGCCACTTAGGCCACCTTATCTCCTACCCGATGGCAGGAGAGCGAAGAAATGGTGACCCGGGTGCGAGTCGTCCCTGAGAATTTTCCTCACTCATCTCAGGCAGCGAGCCCTAGCGAGGTCCTCTAGTGGTATCAGGGAACAGCCCACAATGTTTTGTGCTGTCCTCTGCGGTGTCTTTCTATTCGCGGCTGTCGAGCCGGCATACCACACCGACGTGCAATGTGTGAGGATGCTTTCTATAGTGGACTGGTAAAAGGAAGCCATCAGTGGTGGTTCCACTTTACTCTTTCGCAAGACCCTGAAGAAATGGAGTCTCAGCTGGGCCTTTCTGGCCACCTGGGTTGTGTTGGTTTTCCAGGTGAGATCAGGGGTGGGATTCAACCAGTTGGAGCCAGTTTGGGCGAACCGGATGTTAAATTTACATCTGGTTTGCTGAACCAGTAGCTGAACCGACCAGCTGGCTCCGCCCACCCCTCCCAGGACTCTCCATACGGCCCATTTTGGATGCAGGTAAGCACAGGGCCCGTGTGGAGGCTCACAGGGCCCAAACTGGACGTTCCTGAAGTCCAGAAATGGGCTTGTTTCCAGTTTCCGGAGTGTGGGGGAGGCCATTTTCCCCCTCCAAGAAGCCCGAGGGAAGCCTCCGGACTCTGGGAAAGGTGAAAAACGGCCCTCCTGGAAGTACTGGCAGGCGACGCCCGCCATGGCCACGCCCATCCAGCAACCGGACAGAGAACTAGTTGTGGGGATTTTTGAATCATACCCCTGCACCCACAGTCCCATTTGCACGAGCAGTCATGGCCGCTCTCACCCGAGCATTGCGGGGGGCTCGCTTCCTACTTACGCGAGCGTCGCTGGCGCGCTGGGTCTCATTTGCGCAAGCGATCTTGGCCTCACTTGCGTGAGCAATCTCAGGTGCTCCGGGCCTAACTTGCGCGAGGAACACAATGCGGGGAACCTCCAGCTCAAAACGCACAGAAACACGACACAGGTAGCCTCCGCAAAGAAAGTCACAATCATACTTACAGTTCCGGGCCTGGTGAAGTCTATGCTGTGTGGGACGCTTTGCTTCATCTGATTGCTAAAGAGGCGCATGCAGACACTTTGCAGGTCTTCCGGGGTGATCTGAGAAAAGCATGAAACCCCCCCAAAAAAGGAAAGTTAGAATTAGTTTCCCTTTAAAAACACAACTGGAAGGATGAACAGGTTTGGTGGAGCTGTCGAGAAGGCCAACTGCAAGCCTTTCCACTGATCGAGGAGGAAAACAGCTAAGTTGGAACTGCTCAACGCAGAGCCATTTGTGCCGGCACGCGAGCCGCAGGCAAACTTACCTCACTGCGCATGCACACGCTTCCCAGCTGATTTTCGGCCTGTTTGAGGCTTTTTCAGCTTCCCAGAGGCTTGTGGAAAGCCTCTGCAGGCTTGGCAGGGTGAATAATAGGCCCATTTCATCACTTCTCAAATGGGCTGAAAATCAGCTGGGAGGTACAGTGCAGAAAAGGGAGCAGCCAGGAGGGATTGCGCGTGCATGAGCAGGGGGTATGGGGGGGGAGCATTGCTTCTGGACTCTGGCACGTGCACGCGCAAGCACACACACCATTTTTGGCATAGGAGCCCCCAAAAGGTTAGCCGCCACTGGCTCAGGGCATCTCAGTGAAGGAGCTAGGAAATACAGGTAGTCCTCGACTTACTATCACAAGGGAGCCCATCATTTCTGGGGTTAAGCGAGACATTTGTTAAGCAAGCTTTGCCCCGTTTTACGACCCTGCTTGTTCAGCGAACCACCCTTTGCGACCTCCTAACCAAGCAAAGTCAATGGAGAAGCTGGATTCACTTAACAACCGGGGTGCTCATTTATCAACGCCGGCAATTCACTTAACCAATGTGGCAAGGAAAGTCGTCAAACGGGGCAAAACTCGCTTAGGAACATCCATTTAACGGCTCAATTGCGGTCGCATGTTGAGGTCTTCCTGTAGTCTATTTTCAAATCTCTCTGAACTTGGTGAGAGTCATCTTGATAGTCAACTCGATAGTGACCCCTCCTGGTGAGGGGGAAGAACTTAAATGGTCCATCCCTCAAAGTGCGGATTTTCAGGCCGAATTAAAAGGGAAATGGGGACAGTAGGATCAGAGTTGTAGTTACACCGACTTATTTGTTTGTTTTTATTTCTTAGTTTTATATGTTACCCATCTCACTATCAAGCGGCTCCGGGAAGACTTGCGGTGTCAGAAATACAGGCAGTCCTTGACGTACGACCACAATGGAGCCCAACATTTACACTGCTAAGTGAGACGTTTATTACGTGAACTTTTCCCCATTTTACGACCCTTCTTGCCACCGTTGTTAAGTGTGTCACTGCTGTCGTTAAATTAGCAACACGGTCATTAAGTGAACCTAACTTCCCTATTGACTTTGCTTGTCAGAAGGTCGCAAAAGGGGATCGTGAGACCTCAGGACACTGCGACCGTCATAAAATGAGTCCCCAAATATCTGAATTTTGATCACATGGCCATGGGGATGCTGCAATTGTCATAAGTGTGAAAAATGGCCGTAAGTCACTTTGTTCGGTGCCTTTGTAACTTTGAACAGCTAGTAAACAAACTGTTGCAAGTTGAGGCCCACCTGTATCAGCATAAAACGATTAGAAGATCATAAAATGATTTTAATGCCTCACATCTTAAAAACATTAAGATGTTAGGCCTTAAAAGGTAAAAAAAACATTAAAATGGAGAAAATTACAAGAATGTGCTTACTTAGACAGAAATAGATAGACAGACAGATAGATAGACAGACAGATTAGATAGAAATAGAGAGAAATAGAGAGAGAAAGATAAAGATAGATAGATGGATAGATGGATGGATGGATAGATAGATAGATAGATAGATAGATAGATAGATAGATAGATAGATAGATAGATAGATAGAAAGAAAGAAAGAAAGAAAGATAGATATAAAGATAGATATAAAGATAGATGGATGGATGGATAGATAGATAGATAGATAGATAGATAGATAGATAGATAGAT